TCCCTCTCCCGCTCCCGCTCCCAGTGGAAACAGTGACGGATCAGTGGAAACACCGACAGATTCAGTGGTGCGTTGTGGTTAGTGGAAGCAACAACAGATTAGTGGAAGTAGCGACGGATCCGGTGATACGTGGCGGTTAGTGGAAGTAGCTACAGATCTGGTGGAAGCAGCGACAGACCCGGTGGTGTGTGGCGGTCAGTATAAGCAGTGACAGATCTGGTGGAAGGAGCGACGTATCTGGTGGTGCGTGGCGGTTAGTAAAAGCAGTTATCGAATAAATAGAGAAGTAGAAGTATATTGTATCAAATGATATGTATTTATGTAGTATCTTTAGTATTGGAATTAGCCGTCTAAACTCATTGTTATCCCATCAACATATGTAATAGCGCATAATACTTTATTTGTTTGTAACACATAACATGTAATAAATGATTTGTATCGATAATTAAGTAACTTCTTAGCGTATGAATAATATTTTACTATACTCTTTGGATGGTTAAATATATAGCATTTAAACGGCTAATTTGTTATTCATTGGGAAAAGTATTGGTGAGGATAACAATTTAGTTATATAGCTAATATATTAGACAACTACATGTTAGTATTCAACATAAATGTTATATGTCTAATATTTTACTTAGCATAAAGTAGATTAGTTAGACTGATAATAAACTTGTTTCTTACGCTTTGTACAACGTTTTACAGTACATGTTAGTCCGTTAAAACTATGTTTGGTGGTTAATTTATTATTTATACTAGTACATTATCGATTAGTAAGATATCTTTAACATCATACATACTCAACTTAAGATACTTAAGTTAGATGGATAACAAAAACATTAACAGCTAAATTAAGACATTGCCATTGGTTTGAAATGGTAGATACGCATACTTGATATCCTAACACGCATACCGGATAATATTCATATTATCGTTTAGTATAATTTTTATCTGTCTAACGTGTGATATTCTCATCTAACTGAAGAATATGGATTCACGGCGCTATACTATGATAACGAGATTCACAAAGCACACGGTGGGTCATTATCTTGTTCCGGTCAAATCTACTATCCTTCATCTCCAAGTTATCTTCGTCGGAAACAAATTAACAAAGTTGCAATGCATTAAAATAACATCACCTAGTTGACTCACTGAGTCGACTCAGTAATGTTCGAGTCAACTCAAACAATAACTATTTCGATTGCTTTTTTCAAATTATATTTCTTTTTCTTCATCTCCTATTCTTCACCAGTGATTCTTAGCCTCCACCAAATTACCACTAACTCGACATGCTCTCTCATCTAATATATTGAATCTAAGGATAAATTAATTAAAACCAGAAATTGGGAGAAAAAACGAGTTAATCGGAACCCAAAACATTCGACGGCCTTACTGGAGAAAAACGGAGGTTACACAACTTAGTAAACGTGGTATTATATCCGGAAAATCAGCGTTACAAATTTGTTGAAGTCGTCAATACTCTTGCTCTAATTTAGTCAAAAATATCGACATTCTCTCTCCACGGCCGATGAGCCAATTATTTTATAGTTTCTGTTTATTTTTCCTAGACAACAAATAATGATTCCTCTTTTTGA